TCAGCCATTGATAAAGATTGTATGGAAACTAACCCACGTGTAACTCACATGTATAACTTGCAAGTTGAGTGTACACAAGTAAGATCATACCATTTAAATTAGTCATCTCACCATGTTGTGTCCAATATGAGACACATACAAGATGCATAAAATTCTGTAAAACACGTTTTTTTTAGCTAGCTAGTCATTTTGGCTAATTTAGCTTAGCTGTAATTTCCCTAATTCTAGATGTCGCTAATTTAGAAAAAAAGTATATTCTCACAATGAGATTGTTGGCATTTTAGCTACATTTGTAAATTAAGATGTTGTTAATTCATGCATCAAATTAGATAAAATGGCATGTAGCTATTTCAAAGTGTTTTACAGTATATTGAATGAATGAATGAATGAATGAATGAATGAATGAATGAATGAATGAATGAATGAATGAATGAATGAATGAATGAATTCATTACAAAGTCAGTGTTACATTAGCAATACAAAGAAGGAATTTATGGTGGGAATCTACTGAATTCTTCGGGTCAGTGATCCATGTTTGTTTACATGAAATTTGAACACATACTGCATGACAAATGTGGCACTGATTCATCATATTTCATGATCATATTTACAACAAGTCATCAATTCCCCAATGCCATAATTTGCTTAGAGGAAGCAATGGCAAGCTGTTATGATAAGCTTTAGTTTAAACTGGAGTTTTATTTTATCCCTATTATTTGAAAACAAATTTTATTTATGGACCATCAAAACCAAATGCTGAAGAGATATCACATATCAATCAGTAAGTACTCACCCTTTCACCTGCTTTATCCACTACTCCTGTAAACATGACTTTTGGCTTTGTATCAAGAGAAGATCTCCTTCTTAATGTGGGACTACTAACATCACTCCTATCTGTCACTTTCAGGTTCTTACCAGTTGATGGAGTACTTGGTGCAGGAGTGGTGTTTCTGGAACGTTTTCCTCGTCTACCGTCTCTCTCTGATGTATCTGTAGAGTCTGATGACTAGAAAAAATTAAAAAATGTTAGAAATAGAGACTGTTATACATATCTAAAGTGCCACTAAAGTGCCCCACCCCACTTCTCGGACAACTCCGAGACGCATGGAGCTGGGAACAGCCACTTGTTGCGCTGTATGCAATCAAGACCTATTTCGGCTTGCCATAGCTCATTTAGATTGTATTGTAAAACAAGAAAGCAGTTGTTAAATTTGGTGAATAGTTTAGTATGATAGAAAGCATTTACAGTCTTCAAATAACCACAATAGACGGAGTGGGGATCAAGACTGAATATACGTGATTCCGGCGTTTCATACTAAATGCTTTCTATTAATAATTTCAGTTTCAAATAATATTCATGAGATATGTCTATGTCACAACTTCGTTAAAGGTTATTAGCATATTGTGTACGCAGTGCACATGCTTCGGGCCCTTTTTCCGTATTCCACAACACATGCGTCATCACAGTGAGGTCAATTGAAATTTACGTTACATGCAGCGTCACGTTCAGCACTGTCAATGGGTTTCACCACATTGAAGGTGCTGAACGTTGCCCTCGTATTTGAAACCCGGATATATACAACAGCTAATAAGCCAGCGACTGACAATCCTGGTTTCCCCATAACTCCCAGTTCCTTACACAGTTATTGTGCTTGCATATGCATCTATACTGCCCCATAACAATACCCTATATAAATCTATATAGTGGACCTAAACTTCTACATACTGGTAAAGTGCACTGCCCTCAAAGCATAAAAGAGACCCAAAGTTGATGTGCATGTTGATCAGACCATGTCTTTCATCAACTTTGATTGAGCACAAAATATTGCTGCCGTGACAACAATAGCACACCATCAATATCACAGTTGTATGATAATCATTGCTAGTATCGGAACAATCTTGTATTTTGTTGGGGATAACTGAACTTACATAAAAGCTATTTGGTTCTGAGTTTTTGAATTAAAGATATTTAACTGATAATTGTCAACTAAATAAAATCAATTAGTGGTCTTAAGTCTATAGTGCGAATATTGTGGAAGATTTTGACACTGCATTATGTTTAATATGGTCCCTGCATGTAAAATACATTTTGTTATTTTACAAAAAATATGAATGTGCAATGATATGGTTTTATGTATTATAGAACACTGCAAAAAAAACAAACATTGAATATACTCACAATAGATGTATTGTTTAAATCCTCATCATCAGATACAGTCGTTTTTTGGATAGTTTTCTTGGCTGCTTTTTGTTTTCCTTTCCTCCCAGCAACTTTCGTTTTCTCAATTTCACAATCTTTAGACATTGATGACTCTGGATCTTCTTTAATACTATTATTACTAGCATTCCTTGTCCTTCTACTTGTTTTCACAGTCATAGTCGTTTTTTCCTCCTCCACAGGCTTCTCCTCAGTCTCTGACCGAGATCTTACAGATGATCTCTTAGCCCTTTTATTAACACTTTTATTAACACTTTCAATTGTCCGCACACTGTCAGCTACATCATCTTCATCTTTGGTTGCCATAGCAACAGATTTTCTGCTCCTTCCCCTCCGAGTGGAAGTACTAGGTTCACCTGCATCATTCATACTCTCCTCTTCTTCACTACTCTTTCTGATGCTTCTCCTTCCAACTGCTTTTTTTTCATCATGCAAAGGTTCTTTGGCAGTTTTGTCATCTGTTAATGTTCTCGTCATTTTAATGGCAGGAACCTTAAATACTACTTCTTCATCAGCTGCTACCAGAGTCCTTTTACCCCTCCTGTTGCCACCGACAACCTCTGGACTGTCAATGTTTTCAGCGGCAGCTCTCCCGGGTACACTTTTCCTTTTACCTCTTGCAACACTGGTTTTCTTTTCTTCATCTTTTGTTGCCATAGTTACAGACTTTTTTCCCCTGGTGACAGGGGCAGATTCCACTTGTTGCTTTGGTTCTTCTGCATTTTCTTCCAATTCAGGTGTAAGATTCTGGGAATAAAAACAAGCCTGTCAACTGATGCATATAGCATAATGAAAGGAAATTCTCAACTCTTACAGATACATGTACATGGAAGAAGTACAGTCAAGGAAGTTGTATACCTGCACACTTTGGCTTCAAAAAAAAGCATCTAGTAATAATTCAACACACAAAAAAAAGACATTTATTACTACATGAATATATGTGATTTTAACTGGCAATCATTGTGAAACCTCATCACTGCAGACAAACATATAACCTACCGAGCTACTCACAGTGAGCTAAAAATAGTACTTCAAAATAGCTTTTTAAAAAAAAAATATTTTTGTGTTAGGAGACAGTTCCAGATATTGAATGTGACTTTTGTCCCTTTTTATTTACAATTGCAAGTGTCAGTGACATATACAGCATTTGGCTGCAGAGACTAAATTCTCCTTTGGTACTACCTGACAGGCCTGTATGATCATTTTTCTATCATAATGGCAATTAGGCAAATCAATGAGCTAACCTTGGGTTAACCAGGCCTAGTTGAACACAAGTACCTGCGGAAATTAACCAATGTTCTCCCAAATTCACATGAGTTAGAGAATGAATCGCAAGTGGTTTTGACATTTCCATTGAGTCTGCAGCACACACACCCAGGGTAGGGAATGGACTCCTTTTTGTGTTCAGAGGTAGGATTTGAACTCTGATCTTGAGTGAAGTGACTAGATGGTAATATCACACATTGTACAGAAGATGTTACACATGTGCAGTGAGTGAGACCGTTCTTCAGAAAACTACATAAAAATTGACAATACAATTTAAAATACCTCTTCCTCATCTGTGTGTTGCGGTATCTTTCCTCTTGTTTTTCGGCTTGTACCTTGGGTTGTAGATTTCTGCAGTTAAAATTGAAATCATCACTACAGTATAAATAATGTGAAAATAGCGAATGTTCCTGACAGAAATTGAATGATTTACAGTACATGCCATGTTGAGCCATTCAAATAATCTCGCCATAGAAACCAATGTAAAAATGTCAATTTTGATCATTCCCAGAGTCTTGTATCTCAAAAAATTGTTCAATGACCCAAATTGTGTATGATATGAACCCATAATATTGAAAGTATGACAAACATGACATAAAATCTGCAATTTGACTTAAACTTCCTTGAGTACCTACCTTCTGGTTCTTTGGTTTCCGTCCTCTTCTCCCTGTAGTACTACTTTGTGGTGTGCCGACTTCCTGCGTTGATGTACTGGACACATTGCTACCACTCTGACACAAACAAAATTTTACAAGACAAGAGTTACTTATCTACTGTGTCAGAAATTCTTTATTTTCCTCACACAGCATTGGAGGTCAATGTGATTTCAATGAAATCACAACATGTGATCCACCATTTAAGCCCATATCTGGGCTCTCTCTGGAATTTGCTAGGTAATAGTAAATTTACTAATCAAGAAAAAAAAGTATTAGTAAATTTTGTCTGGAAACTGGGGAGCATTTTCCCGTGACAGAGCACAACGAGGAAGAGAGAAGGAGAGGGAGGTGTCCCCTCTGTCGTCCGCCGAAAACAAGAACAGCATGCTGAAAATGGTACTTGCTGGTGCAACCTGAGCTCTAATTTTGTGTGTAATTTCATGGCATCAAATTAGGCAGTCTGCTTCACAAAATGTACCATTATGATGGTACAACAAAACATCACAACAAAATATGCAATGTAGACAGAAGAACCTTTATTTGAATAACTCAGTATTAATTAAG